TGGGTTTAAATCCTTTTGTTCTTCTTTTCTGCCTGCCGTTCTGATATCAGACATCATCTTCTCATACCTGCAACTTAAACAAGCTTTAAGAAAGTTACAAGATAGTCTGTTTTTTTGTGAAGCTGCACAAGATAATGTTCAATTTGTTCATAAAATTATTATGGACGAAAAATAAATGAAAAGAAAATTAATTGTTTTGATAGGATGTTCTGTGAAAGCCTTAATCACCTGTACATAACTGTTGTTCTATTCCTAGCTTTTTAATTTATAAACAAACATAAGTCGAAATTGGAAAGTAAAGCTGTCAGTTTCTATATTTCTAACATGGTAAATTTTTGAGGCTCAATTCTTATTTATTTACATATCTAACAACCAAACTTCACTTTTTAACATTTATACCACCAAAATGTTTCAGATCACATCAAAATTCCACAATTTTAGCTTCAAAAAGGTGAAATACACCTTTTCATGCATAGGTAAGGTGGCATATATATAAAAAATGAACTTTGGGTGTTAGATATGCAGATAAATAGGAATTAAGAGGTATGTATGTAATGCATCCTAGTTTTTATAGGTCTACTATGTAGTTAGTCTTTCAATTTCAGATGTCCAAATTTCTTTATCAGGTTAGTTGATTAACAGACGTTTTAAAACCCAAATTCTAATTCAAAAGCTATAATCATCATTGATTTTGAATCTGAGAACTCGTAGACAAAATTCTCTTCTGTCATATGCAACTCATATAGAGAGGCCATGAACATGGTTTGATTACAGCATAATTTTGAAAACAAAAACAACTTGCTTTATCTAACTGATCTTTGTAATTTACATTCATACCAAGAAATTATAGAAGATACCTGTGGGAAAACTAAATTATATGCATGATGCCTGAGAACTGCAATTTTTCTGCTAAAATATAAGAACTTGAAACCTGATCCTGCATGTAGTTGCAAGGGATGAGATGAAAAAAAGAAAACAGCTGAAAATCTTATTCAGGCATAAAATTTAATGGTATGGTTTACCTGTAATGAATGAGAAAATAGTTGGAGAGCTAAGAATGAAAATGAGATGTGCCTTTACCTGCATTCCAAGTTCAAATTTTTATCTAAGAAGCTGGTGGTTGAAGCAAACGATTCTCCCTTTCCCAATTATAAAGTTTTTGGATTCTCCATTTATGCTGCTTACCTTTATTCTTTACTAGAAAGTCAAGTTGAATCTTTTCCTCTCTCTCCCTCTCACTCACTCACTCACTCACTCTCACTCTCACTCTCTGTTTTTATATCAGAATTATAAAGTTCAAAATCATATCATGAAGTCAATCATCTTTAACATTATAAGAATCTTAAAATGAACACAAGAAACTTTAACAAAGACAGAATATGCACTCATATACCTACCAATTGAGATATGAAAGCTAAAAAAGCTACTGTCATTTCAAGTACCGAGCTCAAATGAAGAAAGATAAAAAGTGCTGATATTTAATAAGCAAACGTATCCCCCCCCCACCCCCCTGTAGTAGCAATCAAATGAAGACCGAGATCGTAGCAAGCATATTTACATTTTACCAAAAGCGTTACATTGCATCCTTGTAAACAAAGCATCTGAGATCGAAGCAAAAATGTCTTAATCTAGTGTTTTATGAAGGAGTATACAATTAAATTTTCAAAAAATTTGTAAAAATCATTTAACAAAAATTAAATATAAAATGCATGTCATATGTGTATCCCTTCAACTATAATGCAAGTGTTTCCATTTATTTTTCTTTTTATTTTTGAAGGAGTTGTCAGTTCGTCTATTATCACATACTTTCTTTTTTCAAATAAGTTTCTCTTCTGGATCATGTGGATGATCGGGAGAAGAAAGGAACTGTGAAAGCAGGACATACAAAACTAGTGGATAGAAAAGAGAAAGAACAAGGAGAACCTCCATATGACAAACCTCGCTAGAATAGGTCAAGCAAATACTCCCAAACAAGATCGGATTGAAGTAGTTGTGTCAAATATCCACGAAAGAATGCCTATGAAAGCTACCTACAACCAGAGATTCAGGTGTGTTTATTTATTATGGGGTCCAGAGTGCTTGCAAGGGGACATATCCCACTTGGTTAATTATATCTTGGGAGTTGCCCAAGAATATTCTTGATCCAAAGAGCACCGCTTACATTTAAATTGATAACTGGCACAATACTATCAAATGACAGTTATTTCAAATGAGAATACATCAATGCTTTCAAAGTGCCTAAATTGCAATTTTGTAGCATCCCATATCGATCAGAAAGAAGTAGAGAAAATAATCTAAGCATGCAAACATGTCTGAAAAGTGATAAAATAAGCCAAATATAAAATAATAAAATGTCGGTGTCACTGGTCGGCAACATATCCCAAACAAGACAAAGGTGGACGTACTCCGCATGTACATAGCCAGTCTTAATTCTATATATAAATAAAATTTATAATTAAGGTACAAAACTCGAGCAAACAGCTCTTGGTCCTCGTCATATGGTTATGTTCTTCTGCTACCTCAAAATTCGTGTACCTACCTTATTTCTAATATAAGACTCTTCTGGGACTAAAGGTACTGAGAATAAAAGAGAATGAAGTGACTCGACTTGCTTTAAAACAATGTTAGCAAAAAAACTAACAAACATGCAACATATGATGAGTCGTGTCTTTTTATCGAGGGAGCTAAATAGCAACTGCATACAAAAGTTTAGTAGAAATCATGACTTGCTCCCCCTTCAATGGTACTTCTATGTGTGCATATATATAGACACGACTCCCTGCAGAAGAACGCTCTAATATACTACTATGCTATCAAGCATGCAAACACACTAAAAAGTACAAAAGATGATGCCTAGCTAGGGCAATCAAAGCAATAGAGAATTATAGTCAGGGCATAAAAAAGACTACCTAGCATCCTAGTCTTTAGCTTAGCACGTCATCTAATGAAAATGTGTCATAAACAATATTTAAGTACTCAGGGTAAGGTCTACAGGTAAGTATGACTTTAACGGGGTAGCTGTGTCGACCCCTTCCTAAAGATTCAAAGGATCTGAAGGGTGTCACCTAGAATGGATTTTGAAAGAGTTGGACTTACATTTGGCTAGTGATACAAATTTTATTTCCAAGTGCACTTGCACTATGGGGTCTCATGCAAGTGTATGTATCGTATAAGTAATATAAGATTTTGAGTCTAGAATATCAATCCTATAGAAAGTGAGGGAATTAGACTTAGGAGAATTTCTAGCCTACTAGATTTAGTTTTTTAGCCTGGAATTGAAATTAAGTAAAAGTTCTGCAAGCTACTCCTACTGAATTGCAATCTAGTTTAAAGGTTATCCTACCTAATTCTTACTTATCCTAATTGGATTGGTGATTATCAAGATATGAAGTTACATTCCCTTGCAATGATTTAAGTGGTAGTGTAGAAAATGTAAAGTGTCAATTGTGAATGTGGCAAGTGACAAATATGAGCAACTCTCTTCTTTACCCTCCCGAGTGCATAAAGAATTTTGATTAAATTGTTTTTAATTCCTTAAACTTCAATTTGAACCCATCAAAAATTAAGTCATTAACATTTGCATCTCCCTACAAAGTACTGATACCATACCCTATAGATCATTTTGAATAACTTAGTTGTTCTATCATAGGTCTCTTAAGTTTAGGGGTGTAAACGAGCCAAATATGAGCGAGCCCAGGTTCAGCTCGTGTTCAGGCCATTTATATTTCGAGCTCAAAAAGTGTGTTCGTGTTCGACTCCTTTGCTTAGCGAGTCCAGGTTCAGCTCGTGTTCTTCGACCTCCCATTACTAATATACTATATTAATATATTATTATTATTAATTTATTATGTATTATAATTTATAAAATTTAATTTTTTAAAATATCATAAATTTTTTATATATAATTATTTTAAATAATTTTATATTTCGAACAATATGCATAATTATTCGTGTTTGATTCGTTTAACTAAACAAATGAAAAAAATTTGTTCACATTGTCTCTGTTTACTTATGGAACGAATCCAACACCAATTCATACGAACTCATTGAAACAGGAAGATGAAACCAACAAGAACATTTGGCGAGATTTATCCCGAATAGAGCCGCAATGGACCTTGACATCGCTCATTATCTGTTAATGGCGGCTCCAAGAAAGGAGCAGGGGATCAATGGAACATCATCGCCAGGCAAAGCAAAAGGGGCCTACAGGGAGATTCTTGACCGCATTATCCTGCAGAATCGAACTCGGTCACTTGTTTTCAATAACAGGCCTACGGCAGCAACTGAAATGTTTTCAGAGATTTCCTTTGGTTCTCCTTCGAATCATAGGAGGTCGAAGAACAAGAGGTATGTTTCTCAATCCGCAGAGGGTTCTTCCTGCACCTGATATTGTGGATGATTTTTATATGAACGTTCTTGATTGGGGAAAAAGAAATTTCGTTGCTGTTGCCCTCGGGAACTCAGTTTACCTGTGGAATGCTTCAATCGGATCCGCTTCTCCATTTGTGACGTTTGACGATGATGTTAGTTAGTCCTGTGAGCAGCGTCTCTTGGGCTTCGGATGGGCAGGACATTCTATTGGAGTTGTCCAATTTCCATGTTCAATTGTGGGACCTTAGGTCAAATCGTCCATTCAGAAATTTAGATGGCATCAATCAGTCTAGAGTAGGGTCTCTTGCCTGGAATGGCAATATCCTCACAACAGGTGGAGGAGGTGGAAATATTGTTAACAATTTAGTGAGGATTTGATCCCACACTGTTCAGAGATATAGAGGGCATCATGAGGAGATCTGTCGGCTCAAATGGTCGGGCTCTTGCAGCAAGTTAGCAAGCTGTCACGGACTAACTTTCGTCAAGTCACCCGTGCGACTTTAGCGCTCTCTCTTAGCACTAAATCAGCCTAATCACTCACAACACTGGACTTAGCAGCCCCAAGCACTCTTAAGAAGAAGAATAGAGAGAAGGGAATACTTTGCAATTGAATACTAGAATGCTTTGATTCAATGCTTGGGTCAATACAAATGAGGGGAGGAGCTCCTATTTATAGCCTCCTCCATGCCTTTGGCCTTTCATCTAGCCAATGTGGGACTATACAATGTCCAAGAGAAGCTTCTAGATTATAATATAATATTCTATCTCTTAGACTATTCTAATGTACATAAATAACTCTAGAACATTCTAGGTTATTCTTAGATCCTCTTTAGAGCTTTTCCTTCTTGCTCTCCCCTGAACGTGGTGGAATCTTCTAGAGCCCCTTTGATGACTCCTCATATTCGGACCTTCTCTAGAATCTTCCATCTCGTGTTTGTCTTGACGACTTCTTGAATATGGCGGAGCGTGACACTCTCCCCCACTTAAACCCGCAATGCCCTCATTGCGGCTTCCCCTGCACCTTTGAAACTGCCTCTTCGATTTGCCCCCATACTTGGCAATCTTTGGCTTCTCCTTGATGCAACACGTCTTCCTGGCTGGCGGCTTATCTCTTGCCTCCACCACATTCCTTGGCATCCCAGCTCTTTGGGATTCTTCTCCTTCATTGTTATGAAGGATAGCCAAGTTATCCCCCTTGTCCTGTGAAATGCCATCCCTGAACTGGATCGCCGATAGCGTTTTGGATCCTTGCTTGCTTAACCTTATTATCGGTATTGAGCAAGCTAGACTCCCTTCCGTAATGCATAGGCTATTGGCAAATGGCATTGGGAATGCTCTTGTTTGCTCCAAGAAGTTCATTCCCAGGACAGCTTTGTAATCATCCAAAGGAATGACAGAGAAATCAATATTACCTGACCATGCCCCAATGCTGGTCTTGACTCCCTTAGCCACTCCGTCGATTGGCATCTCTGCTGAGTTGATGACTTTGATAGAGCCCCCTCCTTTAGTCATCTGCAACCCCAATCTCTTTGCTTCATTACTGGAGATGAAGTTGTGGGAAGCTCCCGTATCTACCATTGCCATGGTAGTCTTCCCTCCTATTGTCATCTCCACAAAGAGTAACCCCTTCCCTTGGGGTTTTGTTGGAGCTTGCACCGCATTCAGCTGTTGAAGAGATCCAACACGTGCCTCCATGTCATTTTCCCTGTCACTTTCTTCTTTATGGCTTGCAAGAAGAGAATTAAGGGCCTTCTTTTGAGGGCAATCCCTTGCCCAATGAGGTCCTTCACAAAGAAAGCAGCGGTTTTGATATTGCTTGTTTTTGGCCTTCCACTTATCCCATGCCGTCGTTGGAGTTGATTCACGACGTTTCTCTTCCTTGTTTTTGCCCTTGTCATCCCCACCTTTGCTGTTGCAACTCTTTATATCCTCAGGCTTTCTAGGCTCCTTTGAATAATCGACCAAGCTTTCGGCAACCGCGATGGCAGTGGCAAGATCTTGCACTCCTCGCCTCCTAAGCTCGGTCTTTGCCCAATGTTGAAGCCCATCCATGAAGTTGAAGAGAGCATCCTTATCTGATATATCTGGGATTTCAAGAACTAGACTTGTGAACTCTTTGATGTAGCCCTGAATCAAACCTTCTTGCTTGAGCCTTCGTAGCCGGGCTCGAGCCTCATCTTCAGCATTCTCGGGATAAAACTGTTTCTTTAGCTCTCTCTTGAAGTCATTGAAAGTGGACATGGTGCACAAACCTCTCTCTACATCTCCTTTTCTTCTTCTCCACCAAAGCATAGCGATGTCTGCAAGATAAAGAGAAGCAAACTGAATTTTTGCATCTTCATCGGCAATCCCCATCGCTCCAAAGTATTGCTCTAGTCCCCATAGGAAGTTGTCTACTTCCTTCGCGTTGCGAGTACCTCCAAAACTCATAGGTTTTGGCACTTCGATCCTCCTGGCTTCGAAAGTGGGATGGCTTGTGGATGACGCGAGTGCCTTCTTGCACAACGAAATGTCTCCACGCATTTCCTCAAAGCTAGCACGTATGTCGCTCATCTCTTCCTTATAGGCACTTTGCACCTCTTGGAGCTTCCCCATAAAATCCTCCCGCAACTTAGCCACTTGGCCCATTAAGGTCTCCTCAAGTTGGAGCATCATATCTTTGATAGTTGAATGGATGGTGACGTCCTCCTCCTCGAGTCCATCAGCCCTTTGGCCAAGTTCCTCTACTTGGCCCTCCATGCCATTCATTGCCTCCTCCATCCGAGCAAAGGGTGAATCAAAGCTATGCATGATCTCCTTAGACCTTCCATGTGGCTTGGGTGCAACGGGGTCTCTTTGCTCCTGGCGACCTCGCCCTTGAGATGACTCCACATTTTGAG